TCTACTGCTGCTACTACTACTACTACTACTACTACGACTACTACTACTACTACTACTATTACTACTACAACTCGATTCTACTACTCCTACTACCACCACAACTACTACAACTACAACTACTACTACTGCTACTACTACTACTACTACTACTACTACTACTACTACTACTACTACAAATACGACTACTACTACTACTACTAGTACGAGTACTCCTACTACGATTGCTACCACTACGAACTACTACTACTACTAACTACTACTACTATAATAATAGTCTAATAATACAACTACTACTACTACTACTACTACTACTACTACTACTACTACTACTACTACTACTACTACTACTACTACTACTACTACTACTACTACGACTACGAAGACGCAACAACTACTACCCTACTACTACTACTACACTACTACTACACTACTACTACTACTACTACTACTACTACTACTACTACTACTTACTACATACTACTATACTACTACTACTACTACTACTACTACTACTACTACTCTACTACTACTACTACTACTACTACTACTACTACTACTACGACTACGACTACTACTACTACTACTACTACTACTACTACTACTACTACTACTACTACTACTACTACTACTACTACTACTACTACTACTACTACTACTACTACTACTACTACTACTACTACTACTACTACTACTACTACTACTACTACTACTACTACGACTACCACTAGAAAGAAAAACACAAGGCGAACGAGGGGACGCGCGGAGTCCATTGCCAGCCCTGCGCTTCGGGGGGGAGAGCGGCAGGACTAAAGTCCTCTTAAGGTTGGTTGGGGTCGGAGGATTGCACCGAATCGCCGGTGTATCGCAAATGCATCGGCGACGTAGGCGTCGAGAACTCGGGCCCCCTGTCGAGCCGCGTCGCCGATGCATCGGCGATGCGGCGCGATCCTCCGACCCCATGCGTTCGGGCCCCAACGGGGAGGCCCACAGCATGGCCCTCGGGGGCTCCGCGGCAGATCACTGACCGGCCTCGAATCGAACCTGTCCCTACCCCTGGGATCCGAGAGCCCGGCGGCGATGTCGAGCGTGGGCAAGCGCCCTTAGAGATCGGCATTGCGGAGGCGGGGGCGTGCTCCCGGCTGGTAGATCTACCGCGCCGGGCAAAGAGGGGGTGCGCGGACGAGGGGCCTCAACGTCAGGTCGGGCACGCCCTCCTACAGGCGGATCCTGGAAGGAAAGACAATAATCAAAAAAAATAAGCAAAAACAGTATGCGAAAAAAACACGACAAAACGCCGCCACGCAATTTCTGCCTATTCTTAGTGTTTTCCTTCTGTAGAGGGGCATGCCCGGCTTAACCCCAACGGTGACCCACGAAACCCGCGCGGACCTCCCGGCGTCTGCGACCCGGGCCGCCTGCCTCAAATTCCTCTTCGGGATTCCGGGCGCGTGCCGCCGGGGACCTCGCGGCTCGCTGGGGGCTCATCTGTGTCCCCCGAGCTCACGGGGCGGGAGGGAGAGTACCGTGGTAGTGTCGTGCCAACCCTGGCGTTGGTTTCCGACACCGCGCTGGATCGTTAAAAACCTTGAACGATATTGGCCGTTTCCAGAACGTCAATTCAACGTCGACCGGTTCTGGGTCGCCGGAGGCGTTCAACATTGAGAACGCCAGCGGCGGGGTCGCCTCTGCTCGACACGACGCGAAGCTGCCGTGTACGCATGCCCAACACTACCCCGCAGTCCTCGGGAGCACGGCCCCAGGTCGGTGGGCATGGACAAATCTGACTGCCTACCAGACCACCCCAACCCAACCCGAAGACCCGAATTTCGGGTGGGGGGGGTAAGAGTTCCACGTGTGTCTTTTCGATGTTTCCCGACCCCCCCCCCACTAGAAATCGACTGTAAATTCGAGCCTTCGGGTTGGGTTGGGGTGGTTTGGTGGGTGGTGGTCTAGAAGAACAAGCTGCGAAAACATGAGCTGTCGGGTTCCGCGCGGAGTGTTGGGGTCAGCGCGCCAGGGGCGGCGCTGGAGGCGCCGCCAGCTGGGGGGCCCAGCGCCGCTCTGAGAAATCCGCACGGAGCTCAACAGGTCCATGTTGATGTCATTATTCGGCGGCGCTCCCGGGAGGTGAGAGGGTGCAGGTTTTCTCAAGGGCGGCGGGGCATCTCCAAAGCCCTCGCGCCTTCCGAGAAGTCCTCTGAGCCGTCCTCGAAGGCAGAGACGGCTTCTCAGAGGCGCGAGAGCTTCTGACAAGCCCCGCCGCCTCCTGAGAAGACCTGGCCACTCTCATTTCCCCCGCGGGCGCGCCGCCCAGAAGGGTAGACATAAAGTGGCGCTCCGCGTGGATTTCGTGGACCTGCGCTGGAACCCCCCTCCCTTGCGCGCCAGGGGGGGCCCAGCGCGGATCCAAGAAATCCGCGCCGAAGGCCAACAAATTGTGTGGACAGTGTTTGCTATTCTTCGACAGATCTTTCCTCTTCGACACTCCCCGGCGTGGAGCCTGAGCCTCCTCGCGCATGCCCATCCTGTCGTAGTAGGCGGCCTGCTGGGCGAAGTCCCGCACCTTGGCCACGAACGGCCGCGCGAGGTCCTCGCGCCGGTGCCTGAGGAAGGCCTCTGATGGGCTTGGTTTCCACCACCACTACCATAGGTTGGAGGGAGAGGTCCTCCTCCTCCTCTTCTTTCTCATCCTCCTCCTTCTCCAACATATGGTAGTGGTGGTGGAAATCAGTCCCATCAGCCTCTATGACGAGCTCGTGGCCCACGGGCGAGGTGCGCTGGGTCGCCATGATGTTGAGCTCGTCGAGGTTGCCGGCGTCTGCGAGAGCCTGCACCTCTGAGGGGCCACGGTGGGGGCTGGCCGAGCGCGCCGGGGGGGAAGCGTCGACCTGGAATCGGCGACGTCGGCGATGGTCCCCCGACGGCGGAGCCGCATGCTCCTGGGCGGAGTGGGCTATCGAGCCCTTCTCTTCGATCCATGGGCGATTCGGAGTCGATGCGTCCCCCCCTGAGCCTATGCCCCCGATCGCGGCTCCTGGACCTTTATCCGCCAGTACCGCCTGTCCGATATCTTGAACTCCGCCCGCAGGGTGTCCGCTTCGCCGGACTCCTGCAGCGCGATGAGCTTCGAGAGGGTGCCCACCAGCGAGAGGCCGCAGAACCTGTTAGAATGAAAGAGACGGGTCATGTGGGAAACGGGACCTGGACCTGGGGGCCCTGCCCCAAGACCAATCCTTCATCTTGCATGGTTTTCTGTCAGTCCCGGGGCCCGTGGAGGGCTCCAGGGTCTTGGAAACGGCGAAAAACCTGAGGACCCCTTCCCCTCGGGACCCGCTTCCTCCATGGCCAGACCTGTGGGGCCCGTCGAGCCAGCGCTTGCTCACGGACTTGGCCTCCAGCTCCTCCTGCTTCTTCAGCAGGTCGGCTTCCTCGGTGCAGGCCTGCGCGCAGAACTGCGCGGAGAGGCGCTCAGGCTCGGGGGCCCCGGCATCGAGCTTCTCGAAGCAGTCCTTGGCCAGTCTCAGCCACTTGGCGCGCTCCAGCGGGTCCCTCTTGCGGAACACCTGCTGGACCATCGAGAAGGCGGCCTGGCGGCTCTTCCCGAGCTGCTCGTGGAACGACCGGGCCCGGTCGAACTGCTCTCCTCACGAGTGGCGACGGTACGGCGTGTCCGTGTCGTGTCGACCGCCGCGTTGGTCGCTGACGCCGCGGGAATCGTTCAACGTTGAACGATCGACCGATGCTGGGTCGCCGGCGGCGTTCAACGTTGAACGCTGGCGGCGGGGTCACCGCCGGTCGAAACGACGCGAACCTACCGTATCCATATCCACGCCCTCGCAGTCTGGAGTCCGTGGTGCGACACTGTGCATACACGGTCGCATGGATGCGTTCCGCGCGGAGCACCTGCGAAAAAACGCCCCGTACCCACGGGATCGCGGCCCAGGGGCCTGGCCCGCGAGCCCGTGGACATGGATATGCTTCCCGCAAACGACAGCCGCCCGCTGCCGCCGACCCTGCCAGCCGATGTGAAGGGGATCCTGGGGCGGTTGTCCCTGGAGACGGTTTTTCCGCTCCAGTCTCTCCACCCATTTCCCTGCGGCCACCTGGGGCTCTGTTTGGGACGCCCGAAATGGGTACGGAGAGAACGGGTACAATGCCCAACAACAAGTGTTGTCCCACACCAACAGCGGCCGCTGTTGGGCAGGCGGCCGCCTGTCTCGAATGGACACAGGCCGCGGCGACACCGACAGCGAGTCCTGTTCAAAATGAACAGGCACCGCTGTTGGGCATTGTACCCATCCTTTCCGTACCCATCTCGGGCGTCCAGATCTGTAAGCCCGCCAGCACGAGGTGAACCCGTCCAGGGCCGCCACCGAGCCGGAAGTCAACCCCTTCCCTTTGCCCCAGGGGCCCAGGGGCCGGGCCCACGAGGCGGTGGATACGGATCTTGGGGAAGCCAGAAGGTACCGATACCGCTACTCCCCGGACCTCTCCTCGGGTGCGTTCCGACCAGGATTTCGATGCGAATCCAGCGGCGGCGACGAGGGCCTCCAGGGAGGCCCAAAAAGGGGAAAAAGAGACGAGGGTAGCGGCATGGGTACCATGTCTTCGGCTGAGATACGTTTTCCGCGTGCAGTGTCCGCGGTGCAGGATCGCGACGAACACGTCCCCGACCGCCTGCAGCTCCTGCGGGGCCTCGCGCACCAGCCGGGCAAGGCCCTGCACGTCGCAGGCCCGCCCACACGGGTGCCCCCCGCAGGCCGCAGAGACGGTGCTGTTCGGGGGGGCGAAGGAGTGCCAGTGCCATGCCGCCGCGGGGGCCCCCAGGGCCCCCTCGGCGTGCTACTGTCGATGTGCGCTGTCTTTCTCGGGCACAGAGCTGACACTCCTTCGCCCCCCCGAGCTGTAGAGCAGGTCCGGGTCGTGGCTCTGCGCGGCCTTCTCGATGGCGAGCTTCAGCATCATCTGGCTGCTGTCGCTGTCGCCTCCTCTGGGCGTAGGTCGGGCATGCCCTCCTACAGGCGGATTTTGGAAGAAAAAGGAGACATGTTCAAAACATGTTCAAACACATCCAAGAATAAGAGAAGCATCGCGTCCCCTTTACTATGTTTATAACTATTTTCGAATACTCCTCCTGTAGAGGGACATGCCCGACTGAACTCCGAGCAGCGACAGCACGAGGGGGCGGCCCTCCAAGAGCGCAGGGGGTCCCGGGGCTCCTTAGAGGGCGGGGCCCTTCTTCGAAGGACCGGGAGAGCAGGGTCCCCGTAGCGTAGAGGCCTCCAGGATGGGATCGGAGCAGATGGGGTCGGAGGATCGCGCCGCATCGCCGATGCATCGGCGATGCATCGGCGATGCACTGGCGATGCACCGGCGATGCATCGTCGACGAGAGCGATGCATCGGCGACGTCGACGTGATGCAAAGCGGGCTCCACATCGAGCCGCATCGGCGATGCATCGGCGGTGCGGCGGTGGATATGTATAGATCTCGTCGCCCTACGTAGAGGCCTCCAGGATGGGATCGGAGCAGATGGGGTCGGAGGATCGCGCCGCATCGCCGATGCATCGGCGATGCATCGGCGATGCACTGGCGATGCACCGGCGATGCATCGTCGACGAGAGCGATGCATCGGCGACGTCGACGTGATGCAAAGCGGGCTCCACATCGAGCCGCATCGGCGATGCATCGGCGGTGCGGCGCGATCCTCGAACCCATCTATACTCCGACCCCGTCCAGGAAGCCTAGACCCTGCGAAATGCTTAAGAAATCATGGGTTAAGAAATTCATAGTCTCAGAACTTGAATAAAAACCTAAAGTGTCTATTCAAATCTTAGGACTTACATTGAAACATTAAGAATAATCGAGACTCTGGCCGAAAACTTGGGTTTTCTTAAGCATCGCCCAAGGTGTAGACCCTGGGGCTCCTGAGAAGGCTTCCTACGTAAGCCGGGAGGGCAGCCGAGGAGCCGCCCCGCCCTGCTCGGAGGCGCCCGCCCCGTCTCAAGAGGGCCGCTCCCCTCCCGCCGCCCCGCTTGGGCGCGCCGACGGTCCTTCCCTGCTGAGCTGCAGCAGCACCTCCACCTGTTTGGACGCCTGAAATGGGTACGGCAAAATGGGCACAGTGCCCAACAACAAGTGTTGTCCCACACCAACAGCGGCCGCTGTTGGGCAGGCGGCCGCCTGTCTCGAATGGACACAGGCCGCGGCGACACCGACAGCGAGTCCTGTTCAAAATGAACAGGCACCGCTGTTGGGCATTGTACCCATCCTTTCCGTACCCATCTCGGGCGTCCAGATCTGTAAGCCCGCCAGCACGAGGTGAACCCGTCCAGGGCCGTCACCGAGCCGGAAGTCGACCCCTTCCCTTTGCCCCAGGGGCCCAGGGGCCGGGCCCACGAGGCAATGGATACGGACATTGGGGAAGCCAGAAGGTACCGATACCGCTACTCCCCGGACCTCTCCTCGGGTGCGTTCTGACCAGGCTGGTGGGCATTGTACCCATTCTTTCCGTACCCGTTTCGTTCGTGCCGAACCTGCGCGTGCCCGCACGGCTCGTGCTCCAGCAGCATCGTGGCCAGCCGCGGCCGGTGGTTCTCGGCGGCGACCCTGGCCACCTCTGCGTGGCCGCTTCCCGGGCCGCCCCTGAGCTTGGCGAGGATGGCCTTGCTCAACTGCTCGTCCGTCTCGGCCGAGCCGCGGGCGTGCTTGATCTTCTCGCACGCCCAGTGGAGGAGCACGCTGCCCTTGGGCTCGCCCACCCACTCGCAGATCCGGGCTGCCAGGAAGTGGTGGTGCCGCCACGCAAGCCTGGAAGGGACTGGCTGTATGAGTCAACTAGTAGACTAAAGATGCACGAGAAATATAAAAGGGCCTTGGAAGGCAATGCCGATACTTTTTTAGCGGGGCGCGGCCAGCGAAAGTGACCAAAGATGGGCCGAAGGGGAAGGATGTAAGGGAAACATTGGAAAACCGCTCATTCTAACTATGCGAATTGACTGTGCACCATGTCGTCCGGTCAGTTAAGGAGCTCGTCGTACAGACGCCCCAGCTGCCTAGCCTGTGATATGCTGGAGCGTGTGCATATATATATATACACACACATCGACTGTTTCGCCTAAGTCTTTGGTTCTCCGGCCGAGCAAACGGCGTGGTGTGTATGTACATTGAGCCCCTCAGAAAGCCTCTGGGCCAAGCCGCGGGCGGTGAGGCGGTCCAGCTGGGGCACCGTGAGCGGCACCTCGAGCGGCGCCTTCCTGACCTCCAAGCAGATGCGGAGCCTCCTGCAGGCGTCGATGAACCTCTCGGGATCCGCCGGCTCCGCCAGGAAGTGGCGCCCGAAGACGGCGGCGTTCAGCAGGGACTCGACCACCTCCGGCTCGTGCTCGTGGACCGCGGCGTCGATGCAAGTGGCCACGGCGTCGCCGAGGTCGTCCTTGATCAGCTTCAGGGACTCCTGTGCGCAGACGTCGCCCTTCTCGTACCTCTCGAGCGCGTAGCACAGCATCGCAGGGGGGTCGCAGTTGCCGACCCCGTAGATGGCCTGGGTGCTCTCGGGCACGCGCTGCACAAACTCCACGGTCTGAGCGCCCAGGATCCTGCAGCCGTCGCACTCGGGCACGAGGTGGAGTGGCGTACTGTACTCATACGGTATCCACTCGTTCTGCGGGCCTCCGACGAACAGCACGTGCTGACCGTGCTGCTGATTTGCGGCTGGGGTGACGCAGTACAGCGCAATGCAGTCATCACCGCACCACACCATCTGCCTGGGCTTCTTATACACCTTGAAGAGCAGAAACTAAATAATGATATCCGTCTTCGTTTTGTTGTCGTTTTCCTGCGCTCTGTCGCCGTTACGCCGGAGCTGCAACACAAGATCAAAACAAAAACGGTCCACGAAATCTCCAAAACACCGTTGAGCTCGAGCCCTGGCACCTGGATGTTTGCAACGTCCAACACCCGCATGTCGTCGCCGACGGCCAGGACCTTGAAGACGCCCTTGGTGCTGAGACAGGCCAGGAACCTCTGGCACGAAGGAAGGGGTAACGGTGGAAAAGAGTTCTGGACCAGCTCCCCACGGGACGGCATTTCAACACAGGTCGTGTTTGACGCTCCTTGGAAGAGCCCCGAAATACATACACACTTACATACATACAATCATAGCATACACACGCGCATGCGAACGTACAATATACATATACACGTACACATTCAATATGTGACAAACATGTGCATATACAAATGCATAAATATAAAGACATACTTACAGATACGCATACACACATACATATACATACACACATCCACATACAGCTACACATACATGTACTTGTACATGCGCCTGCACATGCATATGTACATAGGCAATCATGCAAACATGCAAACACGGATGTATACATGCATGTAAGCATGCAAGCATACACATCTATACACACATCCACACATGCATACACACATGCATACACATACATACATACTTACATACATACATGCATACATACATATGCACCTCATTATTAACCACACATATATATATACGCACGTGCGTACATCTACACATACACACGGGCAGGCATACGGGCATACGTACATACCATACGTGCCTACATAGGTACAACCATACAGCGCTACACGAATGCATACATGCAGGCGTGCATGCATGCATGCATACATACATATACATACATACATACATACATACATACATACATACATACATACATATACACATCTATGCTTATATTCACGCATCGGCATGTACATGCACATGGGCATGTAGATGCATGCATACACTAATTCATACACAACTATATGTAGAACCATGGAAAGCTACATAGAATTACACATGCCTACATACCTACACACGTGTTCATTCACAAATCCCGACACGCACCTACTGTATACGTTCATACATACGTATATACGTGCCTGCATGTACTCATTCATCCATACGTGCATACATACATACATGTTTTCACATGTAGGGCCGCATACATACATACCTACATAGAGACATGCATGCACGCACACAGACATACATGCATCTATGCATACATACATACATACATACATACATACATGCATACATTCATACACACATACATACATACATACGTGCACACAGCCATGCATACATGCATGCATACATGTGCACACGCATACACATACATAGCAGTGTGGTCAGGCACGTTTCGTAGCTTGATCCCCAGAGTACAAGGCTAATACACTCTGGATGTGTCATCCACGTGGCGACTTACAGGCGATGTAAGCTAGATGCTGTGAGCCATGCGGTGCAAGCTATGGGGTGCAAGCTATGCGGTGCAACCTATGTAGTGCAAGCTTTGTGGCGCAAGCTATGAGGTGCAAGCCATGTGGTGCAAACTGTATGGTCAGTGGTGCCATTCTACTGGCGAAGCTTTTGACGACAAAACGCAATTCAAAAAATTAAACGTTTAATCGCAAAATGCTCGGTATAGCGTTGGACCAATCGCGGCTGACTGAACGCGAAAACGCGAGCGCCCGCGCGATGCTCCTCGCTGCAGACTGAAGCCCCGATGGGCACCACGATCACAGCGTTTGGCGCGAAAGGGCGCGGACCGAATTGCCTGCCAATCGCGACGTTGCGATGCGGAACCGCTGCGCCAAAGACAGCGGCAGCGGTGCTACATCGAACAAACACCTTGGAGCAAGTATCATTGCGACAGCGACGTCAAAGGCGCCATTACGTTCAATGACACATTGGAGGTCGCGCAACCACGCGCGAACCCCACGCGGCACTACAGCGCGCAACCGCATGATGAACGCAAACTGCACAAGCCAACGCGATGCGCGTGCCTGCGCGCGCTAACCCACAACCAGTGGCTCGCACGTGCGCGCGCGCACGTTCGAGGGCGATGGCATCGCCAGAAGTCGCGGCGCGATGGCAACTGGCTGTGCAAATTTGCAGGTCGCCAGGCGCACTTCTGAAAGTTCTTGGGGTCGCAAAACCATAATGAAAACCGCGCCGCGCATCCAAAGCGACGCGATCACGCGAGTAGGGCCGCCCGCGCACGGCAAGGCGCGAACGCAAGCCCAAGCTGGAAAAAAAACAGCGAGGTATGGAATCGGATTGCAACGGGCGCTGGTTTTCAGGGCGCGCTAAAAACGCATCGCGCGTCGAAGCGCGACCGCCAACAGTCAGCTATGAGGCTGGGCACCCTCGCTGGGAACGGTCAGAACTCAAGAGCAGCGGCCAGGAATTGATGGGCGCCTCGAACGGCGGCGACAACAAAAAAACACATCCTCTCGTCGCCGCGCGGCGCAAGAAGCGGCGCAGTCGACCGCGCACGTCCGCGCCGCGCAGATTAGCGCAAGACGCGACGCACAACGAAGGGATTGAAAGCCCGCTCGCGCGCGCACGCGCGCACGCCGCAAAGGCGGGAGCGCGCCTCCGCGGGCCTGCGCGCGTTCCGAAGGGCCGACAGCGCGCGCCAGCGCAGCCTGCGCACTGGGCGTCGACCCACCGCGGAGACGACGTCGACGCAGAGGGTTCTGTGGAGCCAGAATACTTGAGCCAGAATGGTCGGATCCAAAATTGCAACAGAGGGGGGGGGCGCCGGGGGCGGCGGGGGGGGGCAGGAGCGGAGGGTTTGGCGGGGCGGGGGCCGGAGGCGCAGCGGGGGGACGCAGAGTAGAGCGCGGCGAGGGGGGGAAGGGGGTCGGAGGGGAAGGAAAGGAAGGCCGCCACCATGCTTTCGCACGCAGAGGCGCGTGAAAACGCTTCGCGCTTCCATTTGGGATTATTTCCAACGTTCTCTAAGGCGTATGACGTACTTGCAGTTCGACAGGATATGCAATCGCACCCCGTTTGGCGCGCGCAATGCGTCTGGTTAGTGTCATCGAGGCCACGGCCGTGCATAAGTGACACAACAGCCGCCCCGTCTCAACAACCATCTGTTTGATCGTTTCAACCCCCGCGCGTTCCAATCCAATGTTGGCCCTACGCTGCCCGACAAGTTCCAAAGCGGGCCCCGAGACGGCCGCGCGTGGCCCCGAGGCGGCGCAGGAAGACATCGCGACGGCCCCTTGGGGATCCCAGAAGGCGCGCCGCGACCAGCTAATCCTTTGATTCCGCACCGACAAGACCCACGAAGGACGCACGAGGCGGCGCAAACGCGCGCAAGGATATCCGAGGGCCCCCACCACAGCACCGAAAGACAAATACTATTGATCTATCCTTGATTATATTCAAGATGTGGAGGTCCGCACCTTTCGGGCTCCCTGGCGCCCCAGGGCGGCCTTCGAGGTCCCCAAAGACCACTCCGAGACGGCCAACGACCCCTCAGAAGACCGCCCGATTGTCGGAGAGGGCCCCGAGACGGCCCATAAATCATCATAGATTATCAAACGACGCCCACAGGCGGTCTCGAAAGGAGTCCGCGAATAGGAAAAGCACTCAACCCGCGGCCGCCCAGGCGGCCCAAGAGCTCCGCAAGGGCGGCCCCCGCGCTGGTCCACAGAAGCCGACGCCATGCATGTTTCATCGTTTGTGTCCACGTTTGAAAAATCTGTCGCGTTTGTTTTCCGCATTTTCGGATGGGCCGCGAGATTGCTCCGAGCGCCCCAAAAAACTTCCAACGAGGTCCTCAACGGGGCCCATATGACGGCCCCGAACGGCCTCAAAATGACGGAAAACGAACGCAGGGCCACGCGAGGACGCGCCACGATGCCCCCCTTTATCAAGCACAACACCTGGGACAATGCGGGGCCAGTGTGCAAATTAGCATGTGCACCAATGCACCCAATGACATTTCATCAAACCTCAACTGTCCGAAACCATGCGTCTACCACATGTCAGCAACAAAAAAAACTGATGTGAAAACGCAACTGTCCAAAACGAGTTTCCTGGACAATTGAATCGCGGTTCTGATGTCTCGAATGTCATGCCGCAGGTTGCCTTCATCATCCGCCACAACACTGCGGAACCTCAACTGTTCCTAACAATTGTTTCCCTGGGCTCCTTACCACCAGGCTAACCCAACAACGCGGATAAGAAACGCCCAGCCACCAAACCAAAAAAAAAAAAAAAAACTATGTAGCCTGGCGAAAAACCCAACCATATACAACTGGGGGCTCCATGTGGGGCCGCGGACCGTGTGAGGGGTGCGTCCATGTGACGTGGCGCCGCCATGTGGACGATGCTACTGGGGCCTTCGGTGGACCCCCCTGTGGGTCCACGAACCGCGCGCTGGGTTTGTAGCCGCACGATTTGTGAAGACCGCATGCGGGGCGGCGCACGATTTGTGAAGACCGTCTGCGGTGTTCTTGGCCAGAGGATTTGTTAACACCGTCTGCGGGGTTTTTGGCGGCACGATTTGTTAACACCCTGGGCGCGAAACGATGTGCGAACACCTGGGCGCCGCACGATGTGGTAACAACCTGGGCGCCGCGCAGTCCCACCAGCCCTCTGGGCGTAGGTGGTTTGGGGAGTTTCCTCTTCCAACCCCCTTTCTTCCCCTTGGGGGAGGGGTTTACCCCTCCCCCTACCCCCTCCACTGGACCTGGACGGGAGGTTTCGCTGGTAGTTGGAGCGTCCAAGATGGCCCAAGATGGCTCCAAGAGCGCCTCGGGGAGCCCAATATGAGCTCCAAGATTGCTCAAGAAGCTAGCCTCAGATGCCTCAAGACGGCTCCGAAGATGCTCCAGTAGGCCCGAAAACCGCCCCAGGACGGCTCCGAGAGGCCAGCTAGGTCCCCCAGGAGGCCTCCAAGAGGCCCAAATCCTTCAAAAACCGAAGGAACATCAATGCGTGTTGCTTTCTCACCCTTTCGCTTCCGATGGCCTTCCGAGGCCTCAAGATGGCTCCAAGAGGGCCCAAGATAGCCCCAAGAGGGGCCCAAGATGGCCTCAAGACGGCCCCAAGAGCGCCCAAGAGCGCTCCAAGAGCGCCTCGAGATGAGCCCAAGAGGCGATTTTAGAGGATCTAGAGGGGCAGGCCTAATTAACCCCACTCTCTTCTTTGATCGATCGCCTCCAAGATGGCCC